GGGCGGAGAGGGGTGGAGGTCGGGGTAGGGGGAGGCCGAGGGCTAAACGACGCTCAGTAGATTTTCCCATCGTGTCATCTGGCCTGCGATTCCGGGGAATCGCCCACGACCGCCCACCAACCTCGCTCCGCCCGGCCCCAGCTCGCCCCACGCGATCCTTATCACACATATCCTGACGTGTATTCGCCTGAGCTCCACCCTGCTGTCTCTACAAACAAACCAGCGCCTCCTGGACGGTAAAAAAACTTGCCGCCGCTTGCCGCTGCAACTGTTTTGCTCTTCAAGTGATTTAATGGCAGCGCTGGCTGAGGGGTGGTTCGGGTGGGGGATAGAGCCGAGGCCAGAGCCGAGGCCAGAGCCGAGGCCAGAGCCCAACGCGAGCTGCACGCGCACGGCGCTGGCCGCGGCGCCCTCCACGCCAGCGTCCTGCTGGGCTGGGCGCCGGCCGAGGCTGGGCCGTGACTGTGCCGTGTCTCTGCATGGTCTCTGGGCTGCGCAGCGCCTGGAGCAGCCCGCGCCAAGCGAGCGGCATACTTCAATCCGCGAGACGTTATATCTCAGAGTTAGTGGTGCTGAGCGCTGATTGGTCGACTGCTTTCACTCAGTCGCTCGAACACGAACAGGTGTTCGGATTCGAAATGTTCGAGTACTACTCGTTCATATTCGAACGGTTCGCTCGTCTCTACGGCAGCGACAACACGGCACGTCGCGTCGCCTGGATCGAGGGTACAGTACATGATCAGCCAGCAGCTCAGCTGACCAGGGCACGTGGTCCACATAATTTACTCCAGGTTTTATTTCGGTCAAAATGTAGACGAGCTTAAGGGGCCGTTAGAGGGGCAGAGATGTCTTGCGTGAATCGAAAGGGTCCCAAATCGCACGTGGAGTGTGCCGGGTGTATCTTATTGAATGCCCTCGACTGTTGCGGATTTGCCTATCCTCCCTGAGTGCGCCATGGCCCCTGTAAACCTAGCGAATGTAATCCCGCAACACTGAGCGAGTTCAAAGGTACCCCGGTCACACCAAATTACTATGGTCGCAACACCAAACGCCTAATAATAGGCATAACGTACTAATTTTACCCTGTCAATAGGCAATGACAATGCACCCCCCCCCCCCACTTTTCATAATGACTGGTGACTGGTCTGTTGACGATTCCTGAAGATTGAGGTAGGATTGTCAGGGGTATGGCTGTACACGAGACCAGACTCTCCGAGTCGAGTTGAGATTCAACGTTGGCCTTCTTGCCTACGTCCGTCCCCTTCCACGAGTTCTAGGAGCGGGGGTGGGGGTGGGGGACACAAACACCCCTACAGCGTGGACTGTCCATCTTGCTAGCTCACACGCAAAAGCCACGACAAGCATTCAGATGGTCGTGCCCGCCCAGCTGGCGAGCACCACGGCCTGGGCGTGGCGGAGCGTGTCTACAGAAAGAGTGGGAGCTCGGTCCGGAGCTCGCTCCCGAGCGCTGTACTCACACCATGCCAGTGTCAGCGCGCAGGCGGCCGCGCCATCCCTGGGCCCGCGCTCGCTTGCACTCACTGGCACTCACTGGCACTCACTGCTGCACTCACTCGCGCGCGCACACTCGCGCGCACGGACGCACGCACGCACGCTCGGGCGCGGGTCGAAGCGCTCGCGCCAGCGCTCCCTCCCTGTGGTCGCGCTCGCCCGCTGGCGCCCACCGCCTGCGCAGCACCGCGCGCCTCGCTAGCGCCTCGCGACGGGACGTGAGGAGGACCCCCTCGGCGCTCGCGCTGCAGGGCTCGGCTCAGGCAGGCTCCTGTCGGCGGACTGACTGGCCGTGTGGTGCGGCCTGGCTGTGGCCCGGGAGCCTCGCCTCGCCTCGCCTGCGCCTTGGCCCTGCCCTCCGCTAGCGCCGCGGGCCGGGCCGGGCGACAGCCCCGCGCCCCGCGCCACCGCGCACGCGCGGCGCCCAGCCGCCCCCACCCACGCACCGCTGGCCCCGCGCGCTGCGCCCCCAACCCCTTTGCGCCTGCCGTCCGGGTGGGGCGCTGCCTGCCTGGCGTAGCCTGGCGGGGCCTGGCGGGGCCTGGCGAGGCCTGGCGGGGCCTGGCGAGGCCTGGCGGGGCCTGGCGGGGCCTGGCGGGGCCTGGCGGGGCCTTGCGGGGCCTGGCGGGGCCTGGCGGGGCCTGGCGGGGCCTGGCGGGGCCTGGCG